ATCTACCTACTTAAATCTAGCCTAATTATTCCTGCTTATTCGACGGTAGCCCAGTCCGACCAGCCCAGTGATGTAAAGGGCGCTCCTTCCTCATTTCCGAATTCCCCCCGCCTTCCTCCTGTGGAAACTAGAACCGAGTGCCCAGGTTCCTACTGTCTACTTGGTCCAAAAACAATCTGCCAAGACTAGCCTACCTTCCGCCAATCTCGCAATCTTCCCTCCCAGTCCCCATGTTTCTCCAAACCATTCCCCAGATCTAGTTCTACCTTAAAGTTTCCTCTTCCAATCAGCCTGGACAATGCGTCGCAGCCTCTCGCAGGGAACCTCTGAAGGAAGCTCTGATTTCCTTGTTGGTCATTTCAATGCCTTCAAACATGTACTTGTTTCTTCCTTTCCATATGACATCACAGCCAACTGCTCGGGCCGCTTGGGCAACATAGCCCCACCTCTTGTTGAGTTGCAAGTTATCCGGCAGACCTCCCAGCAGGACCCAGTCTCAATTCTGTGGCAGGCAATCACCTCAAATTCCATCCCAGAAGACCTTCCACCAGTCCCAAATTCTGAGTGAAGTCGGGCAATCATACCACAAGTGAGTGGTTGACTCGAATGCCCAATTACATATTTTGCAGGTCATTTTGATCTGAAGACCACGTTGGGCCAAGTTAACTGCTGATGGGGTAGCCAGTAATGACAACAACCAAAGATTAACCTCGAGTCTCGGGTTGGGGGCTAGCACCAATTGATTCCAACAATGAGATAGAGCTTTCTCAATAGATTGATGACTCTTATCTACGACCTGACCCCATCTCCTTACTGCTACTTCCATGGGTTTACGAAATGGAATTTGAGAGGCGTAGCCCAATTCAGTTAAATACAGGTGAAGTGGTAGGTCTTCTCCACCGTTTCCTTCTCCTTTCCAACCCCACATCTTGGGATCCACTTTCAGATCCTGAATAGCTGACCCACCTGCAAAACCCTGACAGTCCCAGTTCCCATCCTCGTCACACGTTTCCCATACTCGTATCTGAGCTAGGGTAATTCCCAACGGTGGGTTGGTGTGTTCATTAATTTGAGCCAAGACTTTTGGTTTATCTGAATTGATTCCTTCCCATTGCTGCAAAACTCTTTTCCTAGTTGGCTCGATCTCTGTCAATTTCCAGAACGAAAGGTCAGAGGCAACATTGCGAGAAACATACCATGTACCAGGGGGTTCAATGCCCTCTAGACATAAGATCATTCTCCATTGCAGGGGAATAGCTTGGATTACATCTGTAAGTCTTTCCTCAATGTACCAGACCGAACCCAAGTATTCCCTCGATGCAGAAGGAGTTTTCCATTGGCCTTCCCAGATTCCAGATGTCACTGATTCTCAGTACCCCCTTTTCGATCCAGACCCTCCCGAAGCTACTGCGTGACGAATCAGCAGCAAACCGGTTGTCGTTCTGTTTCCTGATTTGCAGATTTTCAAAAAGGGGCTGGAGTAAGATCTCGGCCTTAGTTGTCGGGTTAGCCCACAAATTTGGTTTCAACTGTTTCCAGGCCAGCATAATTGCTTTCCAGAACTCATACTCAATCTGGCGGTTTTGGTAGGACAACAGGAGGAAACAAGTCCAAACATCGGAAGGGCGGGATAGGTTTCATTCATTCGCCAAGATGATTTTCGCCAGGGAAATCCAGTGTGACTCCTCAGTTGAGCAAATACCTTTAATTGCCCATCTAACCTGCATTGCAATCCCCTTGCATTGGGGGTCGATTAAACCAAGCCCTCCTTCCTCTTTGGGAAAGCACAGCAAATCCCAGGCCACATTGGACGTAAAGCCCTGCTCGGCTGTAGCATATGGTTTCCATATAAACTTAGCAGCCCTTCGGCGGAGCAGAGAACACAAATGTCTGCCTAAGGGTATGACAGCAGCTACAAACCAAAGTAGGGAAAAAAGTGCACTGTTAATTACCAAAACTCTGCCAAAAACAGAAAGATGGTGAGCTCTGCCCCAAGTTGTTGCCCTTTGCAGCGAGCGTTGTAGCAGGATTCCCTCCTGATCCACACTGCATGACAACAAGGATACTTGTACTCCCAAGAACCTTTCCAATTGATCAGTCTCAATACGTTTCATTCCCCAGTTCACAACCGGAGTAAAGACTCTTGGGAGGAAAAAAAATGATTTGGCCCAGTTGACTGGGGCCTCCGATAGTTTTGAATGTTCATCCAAACATCCTTTCAGGGTGTTCATTGACCTCTGAGAGTTCTCAGAGATGGTCATCTGCCAATGCTTTGACTTTGCATTGGGAGGTGCCCGCCTCGAGACCTTTAATATATGGATTTGAGCAACGTTGCACAACAAGTTCTCCATCTGAATTACAAAAAGGAGGGGAGCCAAAGGGAAGCCCTGCTGAAGAGATCTCGTCAGCGGAACGGAGGTAGATCTAAACCCATTAACCATAACAGAGGTCGTAGATAAGGAGTAAAGGGTCAGGACCCAGTTACACAAACTTTCGCCGAAACCTACATAGCGCAGTGTAGTCAAGATTTACTTCCAATTTACACGGTCGTATGCCTTTTTGAGATCTAGCATTAAAATTGAGAGGTTAGCTTGGGTATTTTTAACCACTTCAAGGGCCTCAATGGCCGTGACAATATTCTCAAATATAGATCGGCCCTAAACAAAAGCAGCTTGGTTTTTCTGAATCAAGGTCGGGAGGTGTCTGCCCAAACGTCTAGCTAAAAGTTTTGCTAAAAGTTTGTAGGAAACATTTAGGACAGAGATAGGGCGCCAATTTCTTATTTCAGACCAGTCGCCCTTCTTGTATAGTAAAGATATAATCTCGTTCCTCATTCCTATTGATAAGTTACCTCCAAGCAAAACCTGATTATAGATTTCTACAAGCTCCTCTTTGATCACATCCCAAATAACAAGATAAAGTTCGACAAGTAGGCCATTGTTGCCTGGGGCTTTGTCCCTCGCCATTGAATTCAGTGCTTTCCTGCTTCTTCAATAGATACCGGGCGGTCCATATCCAATGTGCCTTGAGTGAAGAGTCTTTCTCCAAAGTGGATCCAGTGATTCAAATTTTTCGATAAGTATGTGGTTAGGTCTTCGAGTGGTCTTCTGGAAGTTCAGATATCATGGTAATACATGACAACATAATCACAGAGATGCATTTGTTCTTTGGCAACCTGAAAATCATGGTCAAAGGGGTGTATGAGCTCTCTCATTGAGTGTGTTACTTTTTTGGGCGTCAATTTTTGGAAAGTCTCACGTGTCATGCAGTCGTAAACGACTATCCCCTTAACTTTTAATCTCTTTGTCCATAGATCCGATTCCTCATGTTGGAAGGCATCCCACTCGGCTAGTACTTTCTCTCTAACCAGGCTCCAAACCAAGTTTGAGATAGGGTGAAGGTTCATGCGGTATTCCGCATATTTGAGCTTCCTAGCTATCTCTTCCTCTTTATTCTTCCTGTTGGCTGCCAGTATACGGGAAAAATACTTAAATGCTCTGAGAAGACACGAAATCCTGCTTCCCACCAAGTTTCCTTCGTTTCAAATTTCTCGGCGTTCAGTTTCTATCCCTCCCAAAAACGTTTCATTCAATCTACCACACCAGGGTCCTGGAGAATCTGGGTATTTGCTCTGAAGTAGCCAGGGCCCCTTTCCAACTTAGCAGAATTCAATGCAGCCACAACCGGTTTATGGTCCGAAATCGGGCGATCTGGGGGGCGGTTTTCGAAGCGGGCAGCGGGTTTGGGGTGGGGGGGGGGGGGGGCACCCCCTCAAAGTGACAGGGCGTCAAAAAAAAAAAAAACGGGGGGGTCCTGCACAAGACCCTGGAAGAGTGGGCCGCGAAAAATCCAGCGTCCCCCGTGTGCAGGTTCGCCGATGCGGGGTCGCAGGGAGGAGGGTCGGGAACAGTGGAAAAATTTAAAAAAGAAATGTTTGACCCCTGCGGGGGTGGCCCAACGTGGGTTGGATGAGGGCCTGGTTGGGGCGGGCCGTGCGGCCAGGCCGGGTCGAATCTAGACGGGGCTGCAGATGGCAGACCCTAGGCGGATCAGGGCCTCACGCACTGAAAGGTAGTCGTCGGTTTCATTCATGAGGGCGATGACAGTTCGTCGCATATTTTAAAACAACACATTCATGACAATCATAAGTCAGACCCTGTTTGGCATACCAATGTTAAAACACATTGAAAATCAATCACAGTGCAGCGAACCACAAGTTTCAAACAATGATAACAGGCAAGTGTGTCATAGTGTGTGTTCACTCATGAGACTGATGGACATTCATTAAAACATCGTTTATGTAAGAACGCATTCATTAGCACATCATCCCTGTGTCACATCTGAAATTAACAGCACATTCACAGTGGAGGCATCCATGACATGCAGGTGCGTGGCATCGGAGAAGCACATAATTTGCAACAATCACGACAACAGAGCAAAAAACAATCACCAAACAACAACGACTCAGATGCAAGACCAATGTTGGCGGAGGAACAAGAACAAGAGCAAATATATGACAAAGCATTTCAATGGAAATGCGTATGTACAAGGCTGAAGCCAAAAACTAGACCCGTAGTCTCTACTGTACAACCGAATAGCAAAAAAAAACTGGACCCATCGTCTCTGCTACACAACAGAATAGCAAAAAAAAATTGGACTCGTCGACGAGCGTCGTCTCTACTGTACAACCGAGTAGCAAAAGAAAAAAAAAAAAACCTAATGTCCACATACTGTCGTCGTCTCCATGGAACAACATCGACATAAATATGCAACAACCCTGCCGACAGAACGTCCAAGCTGTACAGGCAAGCGGAAAAAAAAAAAAAAAACTAATGAAAAAAAAAAACCACCACGGACGTCGTCATCTCCCACCAGAGCGCGCGCGGCCTCTCTCGGAGGACGGGCGGCCATGCGGTCCTCCCCGGCGCCCTCCTCTCCCTCCGACACCTGTGCCTCGTGCCCCGCTGACGTATGCCGCATGTGCTGCAGCGGCCGCCGCGGCCACCTGTGCCCTGTGTCTGCGGGCCGCAGTCTCGATCGGCTCGGACTCAGTGTCTGCGTCCTCGTCCTCCTCCGCCTGTGCAGCAATCCCCCCCTCTCTCCCTCTAAATCGCGTCCAATGCTGCCTGCCCAGCGGCAACCCCTGCAGCGAGTCAAGCCTCAACCTCTGAGAGGTCATGCTGTCGTCTCGTCCCGGGACGCATCAACAACCCATCCTCGCCCGATGTGAACTGCTCTCCCCGCAGCCTGTCCGTGGATGTCCCTGCGGCCTCGATGACCAATGATCTCCTCGTCTCTGACAAACCAAGCATGCGGCCTGCCATCTGCAGGCTCGGACATCCGGACCCACCCTCCGCAGCCTGCGTCTGAACAGTCGTACGTCCCGTGAAGACGCCCCTCCCGGCGTCGTAATCCGCCCGAACCGGTCCCCGACCCGACGAACAGCTGACCATTCGCCACCCACACCACCTCGGACTGTTGGTGGGGAACCGCCACTGTGCCCAACTCCGGGTGCCGCCGTCCCGTCCCCGGTGTCGACCCTGGCCTCCGGAGTCCGTGCGGGCGGTGGAGGCATGGATCCTGCACTATCTCTATCACCGTCGCTGCGTCTGCCGAACCCCACCTTACCCGCACCGGAGTCCCTCCCTCTCACGCCGCTGAGCGTCGAACCCGACGAGTGAGGGCTCTGCACTGTGAACGGCGGCGGTGAATATACCCTCTCAGGGGCCCGCTGCTTGCCGCTCTTGTGGCTCACGTGTGTGAAACGGTCATCCGTCAACGCGTGCGCCAAAGCGTCGACGTCGAAGAAAGTGTGCGCTGTGTCCTCGGGGCGCAAGGGAGGCACTGTGGGGTCCCTCAACACCAAGGCGAGCCTATACGGATCGTCCTCGAGACCGTGGTCGTCGTCATCGTCGCCGTCCGGTCCATCGTCTCCACCGATACCCGCGGTATCCCCATCTCCACCGGGTCCACCCTCTCCTCTACCACACACTGCGGCACCCTGTCCCTCATCACCCGCGGTCTCGCTTTCGCCACGGCCCCCACTAGTGGACCCACCGCTCATGACAACATCCTGCCCCTCAGGGACACCCGCGGTCTCCTCGTCGCCGCGTCGTCCACCACCTGACCCACCACCCGCGGCGGCATCCTGCCCCTCATAATCGAACTCCCCCTAAACCTCCTCCTCAAGGACACCCGAGTCGTCGACGTCATGACTACCCCCCCCTCCTGTCTCTAAGTCCCTGTACCGACGCTGATCGTCGAGATACGCGAACAGACCCTCCCACTGTAGCAAACTCCTCAGCCGCTCCTCCTCCAATCGGTCCAAACGGGCATCCCTCTCCTCCTCAGTCTCAACAGGGCCCCGCTCAACGTCCGCGTCTGTGCGCACCTCCTGCGGTGAGGCATGTCAACGTCCCTCAACACTGAAATCTCCCAAGCTCCCGCCAATCCCTACGACGTCGAAGTCTTGTGTGCGGAGCACCGACGGCGAGCGGGGGCGGATACCGGCGTTGAAGGAGTCCTCTCCCCCCCACGATCCTCGCCGTCATGTATCCGGTCTCTGCCTGCTGCCGACGCCAACCTCTCCGAACGCCTAAGTGCCTCGGGTTGTGAAGAGATCGGATGATGGGAGGGAGAGAAGCGACGATCGGGAAGGGGCACCTCCTCATCCTCGACCTCGTTATCGCTCCTAACCTCCCAACGCCTGCCTGTATGCCGAAGACCTCCCCGTGGCTGCTGCTCCCCCGAGTCGTCCACGTGAACCTCCGCATGCGAACGTCCTCCACGACCACCGCCGGCTCTGCTGCTGCCACTAGCCTGCGCGGTCAACGACACATCACCAGTGATAACTGATGTGAATGAATCCATTCCGTCACGACCCCCACCGTAAGTGAAGTACACTCGCTCAGCCGTCTGGTCGCGACTCAGCGGCGTGTCATCATCATTAGTCCAGTCGTCGTCGATGTCGCCGTCTGCCGCAGCAACGTCCACATCATCCCCAACCTCCGGCCACGGTCGCAGCTCCGTCGCTCTGCTGCCGAACACGTCCTGAACCGAACGGGCTCTGGACGGTCGGCTGTCACGGAAAGCGACAATCTGCCGCTGGATCTCCTGCTCGAAAACACTGCCATCAGGTCGCGCTCCCCACACCTCGGGCTCCACATCTCCCTCCTCATCCTCCTCCTCTGCCGCCGTCCCCCCCCGACCGGTCCCCATAACCCATGGCAACACGTAGCCACCACCCTGCCGTGCGCACGAGGCCAGTTTGAGATTGGTGGCCATCTCAACCAGCTGTGCAAGCTTGGCTAACCCAAGCTTGCAGCGCCTCGCCGTGCTGACGCGCTCGTGCTCCGCCCAGTTCCTCTCCTCTGGAGAGGCAGACGTCCACAAGTGCATGACACGGATGGCGATGGTGCGCAACTCCGGGTGGGCACGTCCATGCTCAAACCACCACGCTGCACATCGCTCAGTCTCGAGTGGAACGCCCTCATCGGGTCCCTCACGCTCCTGTACAATAAGCCGACCGGATCGCCGCCGGTCTGCGCCAGGAGAAATTTGTCGCACTCCTCGACCACACGGCGGTCGTCGGCGGTCGTCTCCAGCGAATGGTAATACGTGAGGGACCGTTGACGAGGGTTGAGGAGGTGGGCCGCGACATGTGCGGGCTCTAGCATGTGGAGGTTGCGGATGGAAACCTCACGCATGCATGGCTCGATCATGTCCTCCGGCACGTCCACCCTCCTCATCAACTGCAACAGATGCTGACTCCCTTCGTAAACGACGGACATCATCATCCCACTTCTATCCATCTTGCACAACAGTTGGTGGACGGGCGACATGACTAGGATGGCGTACTGGACACGCTGCCAAAACTCCCCGTCCCGGATCTCCTGCTGCACCCACTGCGCCTGAGATACGTGGGCGTGATCCCACGGGATGCGTGCCCAAGCATCCCCGTGCAACATGCTCTCCAACGCATCTCGTCGGCCTTTGAGACACATCAGCATCAGGAAAACCGATGCAAACCGTGTCTCAACGGGCTAGACGAGCTGAACGTGAGGGCTCACCTTCCTAAACAGGGTGTGAGCAGCGCCGTGCGATTTAATAAATCCCACAAGTGCTCAAGCACGGATGATGGTCTCCTTGACCGACATCACTCGCGTCCCGATATCTGACAACATCAAGTTGCAGACATGGTGGAGCAGGGGAGCCACGTGATCCTCTTGATGTCAAGCCCGTGGTCTGTGGCGAACCTGCGCGCTGCGGCCGTATAGTTACTGGCGGAGTCTGTGCAAAAGCCGATCACGTGCTTTGCAGGAAAGGACAAGATGATGGCCCGCCACCTACGGTACATGACGTCCGCTGTGTCTCGGACCGACCCGTCACGTGCGACGGTGGCGTACAGCAGGGCGCCATTGGCGCCCCCGGCGAGGAAGTTCACGAGCGGCTTACCGCTGCGCGACTTCCTCCCTTCGGAAAGGATAGTGGCACCGCTGTGCCGGAAAGTGGCGCGCACCTTGCTCACCATCGTCGCCACCTTTGCCCTCTGCGAAGGGATACCGATTCCCAATGTAACCCTGTAGGAGGGAAACCGGAACTGGATAGAGCGAGGCACTCTCTCTGCTGCCTGCCGCACCCTCTGGAACTCCGGACCACGGAAGACGTTAAATGGCAACTTCTTCACGTAGATCCACTGAAGCCATGCATCTGTGAACTCGGCCAACTTCTCCCTGGCGTACATCTCGTCAATCGTGGTCTGCCGAGCCTTCTTCTCCCTGCCCGTGTCTGGCACCTCGACTCCAGCCTGCCCCATTGTCCTCTTCTCCCTCCTCGCACGCTCCACCTCAGGTCGCGGCGCCCTAGTAGCAGGACTCGCTCGACTGACGCCTCTCGACGTCATCACCACCTCCTCCCCTGGCAGGTTAGGCTCTCTGACTGCCTCGTCTTCCTCGTCTGCAACCGCCCCCTCCCTGGTCCCACCCTCGTAGCCCTCCTCCTCATCGAGGGCGTCCTGAATGTCGTCCCTCTCTGCGTCGTCCATCCGCTATCTCTGGCCACCCGCGGGCGCTCTCATGTCCCGTATGCCCTCGTCCGCCATCCACCTCTACACCCGCTGAGCAGTGGACGACACAAATGTGTAGTCCGTGTCGTTCCAGAGTTTCGCGAGAACTCTCATCCCCCCAGCCTTGCAGAACTTCGATTGCGTGAAATGACGTGCGGCCTTCGACGACCCTCCCTGAAACAGGTGGCCGCATAAGTTGCAACGCAACTTTCGGTCCCCGTGCATCTTGGACTGGTCCCCAACGTACTGGCCCGCGGTGACGAAGTTCCAAACAATGTTCCCTCGCCTCAACTTCGCCATCTCGTTCTCGGACAACGGGTTGAACGTGGCACCCCCAGACCCCCCCACACCGCTGCTCCCTGCACCCCCCGTCATCGCCCCCCCACCAGGATCCAACAAGTCGTGGCCTCGATCTTGGATGTCGTCTAACTGTGCCACACTGTCGATGTAGCGCCCCCTCAATGTCGCTGCACCCTCACGTCCCCTCGATGTCGCGCTAGCCCACGGTCCACTAGCACCCCAGTCGGCCGCCCACCAGCGCGTCTTGGAGGCGGGGAACCCTGCCTGGCCGCCTCGGCCGTGGTCGGCCTCGATCGGCCCTGTTCGGCCGTGCCCGGCCGCGTTCGGCTGTGTTCGGCCGTGCCCGGCCGCACCCGGGCACTAAAATGGCCGCGCGCTGGAAAAAGACGCGCGCGCCGTGCGATGATGGCGACGGCCGTGCGGCGGCCGCTGGGCAGCGCGGGGCCGCTGTCCCGCGTGCTCGCGCGGCGCGCGCCGCTGCAGGGTGCGCAGGAAGAAGAAGAAGAAGAAGAAGAAGAAGATCTCTCTCTCTCTCTCTCTCTCTCTCTC